CAAGTAATGCTAACCACAGGGGGGGGGGGGGAAAGTAAAATCACGATACGTTAGAATATCAAACGCAATTTAAAAAAAAGCTGGATTTTAATAGTTATTATAGATTAATAATATCATCCATTCGTTCGTTAAGGAATGGTCCATAATGAGCGTGCGTATATCCAGTTCTGGAAGCACGAGAGCAGCGTAAGAGATGCTCGAAGCGTAGCCGAATTTGTTTGTTGTTTATTAACTGGGGGTTCAATGTTTTGTTCAAACTCAAAATCAAAATTAGGAAGCTCATAATCTTTGTTAGATGGAAAAGAAGCCATATTTCTAGTTTTGAGTCACGAAACACTTTGCTATTTGCTACGGCTAGCGAACCAATGGTGAATTTTTCGCCGATTCACCGTAAAAACATTTCTATGGGATATCTCTATGGGATATCCATTTTTTTCACATAGCAAATTAGCCAATCAGAGCATGCGTTATATCTTGCCTATGTTATAATAAGTTCGTTCATTCGTTCATTGTATGTTCGTTCATTTATTAATTATTTACTCTTTAGGTAAAAGAAAAGCAAAAGATAATTCAAAAGACTTGCCAAACGATAACAGCAATCCAGTGGAAGAACTCTGCAGTAATCTCGATGCCTTGTCGCTGGCTGTAGAGAGGGACTCTCTTCGACATTCAACGAACCATACAAAACTAAACCATGATGACGAAATGGCAGAGACAAAAATGCAGAACAAACATGCAGGTAACCCATCACTAGATGATGAAAATGTCGTACATGGTTCACAGGAAAAACAAAAAAGACACGAACAACAACAACAACATTATGAAGAAGAAGACGAGCAACACCATTGTGAGGAAGCAAAATATGCGAAGAAACATAATTTGGTTCCAAAAGTCCAAAATGGAAAGAAAAATTCGAAATGCAAAGAAAATTTAAAAGTAAATGTCGATAGAATGGATAACCTTTTAGATTCGAGCGATACGTCTTCCGAAGATGAGATGTCTGATTCTTTGGTCTGTGAGTTTTTTGCTCCTCTTGCGCGGAGGATAGAAGCACAATGCAGTAAAAACAGTCACAACGTGGAGATAGACATTCCTGTTGATGCTGACTCAGTAGATACTAAGAACATACAGAAAAGCAAAGAAAAGAACGAAATAGACAATGAAGTACAAGTTGTTTTAATTGAATCTAGTGAGGACGAAGAAGAGCGTGATGTTTGTCTAAAATCACGAGGCAAAGAAAATAGTCGCCTGAAGGGGCAAGAAGAGTTATCGCGTGTCTTGGAGAGACCTGCTTTGGAAGGAGCTAGCTCTAGGAAAGACGATACAAAAACGAGCCAACATGTAGAATCTGATGTTGAAATGACGGCTTTAGGAAGGGGGAATTCGTGCGCTCGAACAGAGCGCGAAATCCATCCTTTGGAAAAAGCAAAGGCTGATGCTGCATTGAACGGAAAAGAAGTAAAAAAAGAACTAGGACTCGTGCTGTTGGCTAAGGAAACTATATGTTCCAAAGCTGGTTATCATGGCCACATGGCCTCGGGGAAAATGAAAAATGTTGGCGCAAAGAATGCGATTGAAATGAAGAAAGAACCAGTCAACTATGATGAACGGAGTGCCTCTTCGTTGCCTAGCAGCGACAGGTCGCTAGAAAAGGGTGGTGGTTCGTCAGCTGTTTCTTTGTCATGTGAAAACAGAGAAAATGCAAGAAGGGTGTCCCTGGGTCGAGAAAGTCGGCTGCATCGTGAGAAAAACATTCGTTCAAATCTGAAAACAAAAGTCATTCAGAGGGTCTATTTTTCTAGCGATTCTAGTGATGATGATGATTCATGGTACTTTGACAGTGGAAATGGTGGTGGTGGCAGTATTGTTGCTGCTGCTTCTGGCGGTGGTGATCATGGTGGCGGTGGTGATGATTCATGGTACTTTGACAGTGGAAATGGTGGTAGTGGCAGTGTTGTTGCTGCTGCTTCTGGTGGTGGTGATCATGGTGGTGTTGGTGATGATTCATGGTACGTTGACAGTGGAAATGGTGGTAGTGGCAGTGTTGTTGCTGCTGCTGCTTCTGGTGGCGGTGATCATGGTGATGTTGGTGATGATTCATGGTACGTTGACAGTAGAAATGGCGGTAGTGGCAGTGTTGCTGCTGCTGCTTCTGGTGGTGGTGATCATGGTGGCGGTGATGACCGTGTTGGCAATGACAATTCATGGTACATTTCCAGTGGAGGAGGTGCTAGCATTTCTGGTGATAGTGATCAAAATGCTTGTGGCGGTGATGGTGTTGCTACTGCTTCTGCTTCTGGTGATGAGAAAGAAGAAGCAGAAGAAACAAAATCAGGTGAAAATGTTAAGAAGCCAAAGAAAAAAGAAAGAAAGATGTCGTCTACTAAAACCTTCGAGAAGATGAAAGGCAAGATGTCATCTAGTAAACTCTTGGACATGAAGATTCCTTGTCTTACCAACGATGTGAACCAAACTCAACCAAACCAAACTCATCCTAAGTACACTGAAACCAGTGGCGCGAAAATACGAAGCAAACTACAGAATATAGAGTACAATTCAACAGCCAGTCAACTAAAGACAAAGCAATCTGACTTTAACATTAGACAAGTAACCAAGCTACAACCATCCACTCACGAACAACATCAGGTTTGCAGCTCAATACACAAAAATGAAGAAGTATCTACGCCAAACTCGCTAGAAAAAACTGACGAAAAGGAAAACAGCGAGTCACCGTTGGAAGATGTTTTCGTTCCTTTGTCTTTGAGTGAAAGATTGGGTAGACATTTACATGGACGGAGAAACGTCTTAAGTACTTTAAGAACTCTTTCCTCAAATTAAAAAATAATTTGGAGAATTAGTAAACAGGGAAAGGTAAAAGAAATGTCACCGAACTCTTCTTCTGAGTCACTATGGTACTTATTCTGCAAGTAGGGAAATGTTGGGATATTACAAAATTATGTTTTTGATAATACTATCTTCTGAAAAATGACAAATGAATTTGATTGTTTAAATTGTAAAATATTTTTTTATTAATGGCTAATAATGTAAATAGCTTTCTATTATCATAAATTTATATAAATTTTAATAACCATGATGTATAAAGAACACTTTAGAATTACATATCAAATTAAATATTTTTTCTTGTTCATCTCAAGTTGTCTTTAGTTCATCAGAGGTGGATTTAGGGAAGCTGATGGGGCCTTGGCCTACGCTTTTAGTTGGGATGCATGTTTTTATATACCTTTTTTGTACGCAATATTGCCAGAATGCAGGATATAGCATTTCTAGAAACCATATTTTAAGAATTTCATTGGGAGCATGCCCCAGACCTCCTCTACTTTCATTTTGCATAGTGTAAGATTTTTCTGATGCTGAATTTTCACTGGTTCCCTTCTCAGATTCCTGGGTCTGCCTCTGTTATTATACATTATTACAGTCAAGACTATTCACAAAAATAAATAATTAAAATATTTCAATATAGACCCCAAAGTTTCCGGAGACTTTGTTACATCAATAGACTTTCCTGTTGGCTGCAGTTTCTGATCTTTACACATCTTTTGTTTTCATTCCCATACGTCTTTCTCACCCACATTCGTTTATTCACATTTTACAGATATTTCAAAAACGTTTGAAGGGGTGAACAGTGATAGGTAATAAGCAATAGGTGATACGTTATTCCAAGATGCAAAATGACTTGTATTTCTTGTCATTATTCTTGGCAATAACACAGCTGTTGTTGTTGAGATATTTAGTGTTCACAAAGTCTATGACACCATTTAAAATGCCTCGATTATGCATGTTTACATGCATGTTTAGATGCTCACTGTGTCTTTTGGTCTTGCAATTGCCAATAACTGATCGCCATTTGCCATTTGCCCCTCCAAAGTTTCTTAAAAATAGCACTATGAAGTAACCGACTTAAAATTATGTCTTACTTATATCCCCTACATCTAACAGTGGTCATAACACAGGCATGTTGTCTGTGTATACAGTAGTAGCTTCACATTCATGTTCCTTTAAATACTCCATATAAAATATACATGACTGATGCCACCAACAAAATGCAATAACTACTAATAGATGCCACCATTGATGACTTGATCCTATGTAGTTCAGCTTTCCTGGAACACAATAATTAAGTATCTATGAGTTCAATTTTTTAAATATTAGTGCCTTAGTCATGATCGTCATGATCATCATCATTATCATCACCATCATGAACATCAGCATCATTATGATCATCATCATCACCACCACCACCACCACCATCATCATCAATGCCATGTTGCTTAACAACAGTGTAGAACATTTAAGTTTAATATTTTTTACCAACCTGGAAAGTATCTTTCAGGAATCTTAAATGCATAGAATGACAGTGCTAGGATTCCTAGGATATACTGTACTACAACCCTTGGGATAAACAGCTGATGAGGGAAAAAAACCAGTATTGTAATGATGAGGGACATCTTGTAAGAAACATGTGGCTAGAAAACAAGGTTTGTGAATATTTTGGTGCTAAAATGAGGCTAACCCTGACTAAATATGTCACCTAACATGGCTGTGTAATCAAGGAGCACAGAGGTATTTTATTAATTCTTATATCATAACAGAGTTAATGTAACGGCGTTGGTATGCCCTTAGCTTTAATTTGCATTTGATTATATTTTGATTTTATATTTACTTGTTTTATTGTCTCTCAGCAAATTATTGTAATTTTATATATCTAGCTTGATTAAGGATTAAGCGCTCATAGCAACAATCAATGTTTGTAATCTGATATTTTAATATATATGATTTGTACGACAAAATCAAAGGGCGTCAAGATTTTGATGGGTAAAGACGTTACTCAACGTTGCTCTTTTCTCTGTGTGGGACCACAGTCCTTTCATCGTTATTTGTTCCGCAGCCCTCTCAAGCAAGCTGGCACCATCACAGTTAATGTTGATGATTACTTGGTCCCTTCCAAAATGAGGCTAACCCTTCCAAAATTGGCCACCTTGCATGGCAGCATAACGAAAGAGCACAGGCATTTTATAAATATTTCCTATATCATAACGTAGAGCTAACCTTAACAATTTCTTGGTCCCATCCACCATTAAGATAGACCCAGTGAGTTGAGGGCATCACTCCATATGCCACCATACTACAAAACAGTAGCAGCCTCCTCCGTGCCCAGTGTGATGTAAGAAAATGTGGATGAGCTTGAAAGCTGATAGTTAGGATAGTAAGTATACACACCCCAGTGAGGTATAATGTTCGTAGAGTCTATAAATAATGAATTGTACATTAAAATTATATTTTTCATCATGTTATCAGCATGCATATATAGCACATACAGGGAACTAAAAGTAATAACAATGTCCAGCCAGAATTGAAACTTGTCTGACCAAATCTTTGTCCTACATACCATTCATTTTGACCAGTAATGTCGAACCAGAAATGACTCAGGTATGACCAAGCTAAAAGTAATTTGGCCAGTCATCAACCTGCGGCTGACCGGCCATTATCTTTAGCCCTGGCATACTCAGTGTTGTATGCTGTTAACTGTGCCTTGTATGCATCAATTGTGTCTAATAACTTAGTTTCACGTATGCAGGTTTTGGTGCTTGGAAGGCTCTGGTATAAGAGGTCAGGTATTAATTTGTTTTTTAAATTTAAACCTAAATTCTCAAGGAGGTCAAGTATTGCTAATAAAACATTCTCAGATCTGAGGAGACCCAACAAACTCTTACTCACAGGATCAAGCCAAGGCATATCTCTGAAGTGACAGGTAAATGAATATGTACTTTTACTGCACCTCCCAACAACACAACTACTGGCGACATCTGCACAAGCAAAATGACAAAATGCTCATTGATTTTCTAGGGCCTAATATAGCTGATCAGTCACCGGCCACAATCACAGGCCAAATTAGTTTAAGCTTAGCTATCTTTATTTCTGGCTAAACATTACTGGTCAAAATGACCGGCAAGGCAAAGATTTGACCAGACAAGTCCCTGTTCTGGGCTTGACATTTTCCAGTGTCTGGCCAATATTTTAAGCCCTGTTTTATTTTTTGTCTATAGAAAATATTCCAGGTCGCATTTCTAGCAAGTTAACCTTGCAAGTTGACCTTGCAACATATTAACATTGTCAAGTTATTATTATTATTTTTTGTCTTTCTCAGCATGAAGCAAATGTCGCATTTCAGACAGTGGTATCAAAAGGAATCTTTGCTTTCTTTCAGGTATTTATTCAAGCAGTTGATTATCCAGCTTGATGGACTTACCACATGACAATAAAATGCATAATAAACAGAAGGGATGTAACAGGTACATAAACCAAGTGATATTCCAGCAAGATCTAAAGCAAACCATCGATGAAAAACCCTCTCGGAGTGACAACAGAACACGTGATATCCAGCAGAAAAGAGCATGCATAACTGTAAGACAGGTATATATAAATTAATTTTAATTTATATTTTAGAGTTAGTAAAAATAATTATAGTTGAAAGAATTAATGGCCTTAGAATTCGAATACAGTGGCAAATCTATTAATGAGCCATTAATTTTTTACTGTGTGTGATGTGTGCTGTCATAAAGCACGTTGGGGTTGGCAGAACATGAGAGAAGAGTTAGGAGAAGCATGACGCGTAGCGAAGTGCTTCTGGACACTTCTCGAGTGTTCTGCCAATCCCCAAGTGCTTTATGACTACACACGGCACAGCAAGCAAGTTTTTTATTTCTTTTATTAAATACAAATTACAATAATGAATAGGAAGCATGCGCCCCAAACCAATCAGAACGCGACATTCATAACAGTTATTTTATGATGGGCCCTTAGCAGACACTTTGAGGGCTGGGCCTGAAGTTTGTTTAAAGTGCCTATCACCCTTCTGATAACATTCTGATTATTGATTCTACATGGGGTAAGATGTGGAATAACCCAAAAATATTTCATAGTTTGAGTGCAGCTTCTTGAAATCATAAAGGTTTTTCCATGCCATACACTAATGCTGTGACATATGAGAAGTAATCATTTGATATACAAAACATTACTGGCACACATAAATAAAATTTGGAATGCGTCATTGTTTTTCCCATTGCTCTTATTGAAATTATTGCAAGCTATTTTTCACATAGAAGCCCGTGTTTTGAATTACAAGGAACGACAAATAACCATAAATGGCTCCTCATGCGTCACAACATTAGCATATGGCATGGAAAAACCTTTATAACTTCAAGAAGCCGCACTCAAACTATGAAATATTTTTGGGTTATTCCACATCTTACTCCATGTAGAATCAACACTGAGAATATTGTCAGAAGGGTGATAGGCACTTTAATAAATAGTGTCTCCTGAAATAGAGGTTTATTTTATAGTGAATAAGTGGGTAAAAATATTGGGACTGCAACTAGCTATTGATTTATTGAAGAGTAAACAAATAGGCACACAATATTTTAGCTTGTAATGTGAAGCCATGATGGCATTTAATTTACCTGGAATCCAATAAGCAGTGCAGAAAACACCAAATAATCTGCAAGAGTTGATCCAGCAACATAAGGAATCTTGAGGAAATTATCATAAATTAACAGGAAAGAGAAGTACCAAAATCCTAAGATGTGGGACCAGATGTTAATAGACTCATTAGACATCATAAACAAACTGAAACAGAAACAGGAGTAAATAGATTACAAACAAAGAATAGGCTATACTAAAAGAAGAGACTCAATCAATCATGTCAAACACAATCAATCCAACATATGGGGGCTGTAAAAACCACCAATAAAAAAAACAATACTATATGTAAAGCTTCCCTTACCTTTTGATGCACCATTTAGAGTTCAAATACGCACGATAGCCATCCGTAATATATGCATTTCCTCGCAAAAAATAGGGAATTTCATGGTATTCATATAGTTTGATAGCTTTGTCGGGGATAGGCTGGGGATCTTCAATCTCGATGATTACACTGGACGACGCCATCTTGTTTCACAAGAGACAAAGACACTATCTAGATGTGTCAGCTTGGCGTCAACTGGTCATCTTATTTAAGTAGATATGTTCATCTCTCGTTAATCCTACAGGAAAATATTCAAAGTTCCGCATTGCTTGGTCCAAAGAATAATGAAAGAATGCAAAATAATTGAAAGTTCTCTAGAAGCCGGCTTTGTGTTTAGTTAGTAGACTGAATCAAGATTACTATTCAAACTTATTTTCTTCAAGATTGAACGGCCTTCTATAGATTCCTGGATGAATTTTATCGTTATTTAGACCTCAATACTCGATCCTCCTTGCTTGATTTACTACGCTTTTTCTTAAAATGTTGTCGATATAGGCCCCTCAAACAACTCACAAGATAAACAATGATCAATATGTTGATTCTTGCCAGGCGTTCCTTGAACATTAACTTCCATATATGGAATAAAGAGTTTGGAAGTTCGATGGATTGCTGACCTACCTGAGGTCGGGTAGTGTAGATGTTTATATTAGTCCCATCTAAAATTGAAGTTTTATGTTTACTTGATGTAAGACTGATGTGTGAAATAAAGAAACTTGAAGCTTTGAAAAGAGTGGCGTCAATGCGAAAACCACTTTCGGTTCCAAAATACCCATAGGAAGGCCATACAAGCTTTGAGAATTTTCAAGGGAAAATTTTTTAAAAAATCGTTAAATTGGCTCGAAATCACTACTAAAGAATTGAACTAGGATGACGTAAACAACACTTCATGTGAGTAAATATTAGCTTTTATTTATTTTATTTTTAATTGTTTTCGTTAAATTACATTCAGTTCTCAAAGCTTGTATGGGCTTCCTGTGGAATACCAAGCAGTTAAAAAAATTTTTTTTTTCTTGCTTTGTCCTCATAGTTGACCAAAAGTTTTATTCTCGGAAATGCATCATAGCTTTTTGAGCTATTTAGTGGTCGATTAAGAGAGGTCGGTCGGTTTATAGAGGGTTTTTATTTCCATATATGGAATAAATATTAACTCGGAAGTTCGAAGCGTCAAAATACAGTAGGTGCATCAAGACTTGAGTAGACTTTGTGGTAAGAAGCCAAAAATGAATGAACTTCAGCAGAATTTCCGGCCGTCCACGATGTCCGGTGTTAAAGGGGAGTCGCTCAGAGAACTAACAAATCCCACCATGAACGATGCTTTGAAAAGTAATTCTCAAAATCTGGTTAAACTCATAAAAACAGGTGAGCTCTGAAGACATGATGAATAACTAGAGTCTGTCTAGAGTCGTAATACGAAGGGTCAAAAGCTTTGATTAATTCGTATATAAGCTAAGATTTACGGCTAAGTTATAAACAATAGCTATACAATGCTAGAATTTCACCACATTATTTAGTCATTAGAGTTCTTTTTAATATATATGTATAATTTTTGCCTTTGGTAACTTGTCGAGGCAAATATTTCAACTTACACGTACCTTCACACTTCAATGAAAACTTCAATAAGTTAATAGACTAATATACTCGAATCATAAGAAAATAATCAAACATTAAGAATATCATCCATAGCTTTTAGCACGTTCATAATATTTTGTCTATAGAACAAACAACTTAGTTTTCAATGTTGAAACACAACATTTTATTCTTGACTTTTTATATTGTTTTGTACAGCTGGGGAGTTTATTCACAAGATTCGTAGTATAAAGGAACAATATGCTCACAACCTCTTGTCTGCGGTGGAAACGTTTAGAAGAAAGAGCACAGAGATGAAGAAAGATAGGTTGGTGATTGATAATATGTTAATACCTCACGTCTGGGTTTTGTTTGTTTTCTGGTATTTGTCCTGTCTGCAGCTTTGATTTTAATTTATATTTTTTTATTTATGTGGGTTTGGTTTATATTGTAAAGCTAAAGGATCATCATATTAATTGAAATATTTTAAAATGATTTGAAGGATCGAATTATATGTGCTTCTATGAATATTTCTAGATATTTTGTCATTGTACGTATTTTTATTTTCTTATGTGCTCCATTTAATATGGGAAACTGATTTAAATAAAGTAAACGATTAAAAATTAAAAATAAAGAAACAGACAAAATAAAAAACTATTTATATAAAATGAAACCAACGATTTTTTACGAAGTTTAAAAAAGTTCAAAAGTTCTTGAGTCTTTCACAGATTGAGTAGAAAGAAAAATAATAAGTTTTGGTTTTTTACATTTATTTTTGAAGAAATAACTTCTGAAATAAAGCAACATTTTTCAATTTCATTTCTGATTTTCTGTGACAGTCTGCACTGGTCCATCAAAAGGACTTCAAGAGGTGGTATTATATATTGAGAAATGAATGCATTATATAAATATATATCATAACATTTGCATTATTTATTTATACATGAAATAATTGGATTTTTTATAATTATGTTACAAGAATAAGATTTTTCAGCTTCTGCATCTACTACTGCTTATGCGGTGTGATATATAATTATCTAATTTCGAAGTAGGTATTAGCACGATTTATTAATTAACTTAAAAAGCTTGACATTGAAATTTGACAGAAGTTACCTAGTTTCGGGAGATTTGAAAGGTTTTGGTTGATAAATGAAGAACCATACCTATCTTTTTTTCAAAAAAAAAAAAAAAAAAAAAAAAAATCCTGAGACAAGTCTTGAGTTCACTGCTGGGCTACCTGTGGCACATGCCAGAGCTTTTTGTAATAACCACTGATGTACCATGTAATGGTCCCAGCTTTGTTTCTAGAAAACAAATGTATAATTATTGAAACATGATAGTAAAATGCCAGATCACCCACTGTCCAGTCTGGAATTTTTTTTGAAGACCTACGTACTGTGTCACCTGAAATAGTGCATATTCATTCATTTTTCTTTGTATTTTCTTTGTTTTAGGTGTGCTCTCAGTAGTTCCATGAGTACATGGGAGACATTGCTTGGAGAATATGAAAGAGAAGCACAAGTAATTATTATTATTTACAGATTATTACACTTTACAATCTTTTAGGGTGTACCTTTTTTAARACTCAATTTAACAAAACTCTTTAGATAGACAAGCTAAGTGGGAATTCCTTGGCATTTTTAACAATTCATTTTTTATATAATTATATGTGCACAGCTGTAATAACACTGTTGTTGGAAAGAAGAAAAAAAAAGAAAATCAATTGTATGGTATGCTATGTGATCATAATTAAGTACTACTGGTTACCATATTTTCAGGACATGCTTAAGATGTGTACAAAGTTAGCTCAAAATGTGGACAAGCCGCTGTCAGAAGAAGCTGCAAAAAGAAAAGCCATTTGCAAAAAGGTGTGTTTTGAGAAGAGTCAGTATTCCTGACCAGTGTATCAATTGCCAGGATCTATAATATATTACCCCTTCTATATGAGCCACTTGCGAGCCCTAATGTGCCAAACTTAGCAAAAACTGATCCAGATGGTATAGTCTTGTCCTGAACCTAAATGAACTTCTGAATCAGTCTTACAGGCTGGGGTATACGTAATTACATAATCAGTTGTCATGATGGATGTGTATATTAGGTTCGGCACATGATAAAAGCACTATCTAAATATGATTAAGTTTTTGACTCCATGTAAGTCACCATTATGTGATTTATTTGCTTTACCAACATAAAACTGCTGTAATAAACTTAAGTTAAGACCCGGCTCTTTGAATTTGTTAAACATGATTCATTGATAACATGTAAACTTGTTCGGCACATCAGTTGAGAGGCATCTTATTTAACAACTAGGCATATAAGGTCTGTGTACCTACATGAAGCTACTGCTCGTAGTAGATACTCCCTGGCATTTTAGTACAGTGAAACCTCTAAATATATGATGTCAAATTAAAGGGCCAGGAAAAAGTGTCCATATTGATACAGTGTAGAGGTCAGGTGTATGAAGCAAAGAGTGTATGTTGATTTTCCTGGGACCTAAATATTTGTCATTAATAAACACTACTGTGGTGTCCGTAATAATGAAATGTCCTTAGGGAGACGTTGACTGTAGCTTGGTATATGCTATAAATACAGGGAATATGTTACTAAAATTTGTGTTTTTAATCTTGTTACAACAGATATTTGCCTTTCGGGAAGCAGGAGAAAATAGAATTGAAAAAGCTGAGGAGGCCAGTCAAAAGGTAGCCAACCACGTACTGAACACAGATTGAATTGGAATTTGAATAGCAACCTTGTAACTTTTTGTGGAGGGAGGAAATCTTTAGAACCCTGGCTGATAGAGACCCTCAAACCGTAGGCCCCATCTGTTTTCAATATAATATTATAACCCTGTATAAGGCAGACTTAAAGGACACACTGAAGATGCTGGTGACGACCATCTTCCGGGTCCACCCCTGTACGTAATTGGCAAAAAGCTGTTGTGGTGTCCCAGCTGCCCTCATGGGAAAAGCTAATAATTAAATAAATAAATAAATTATAAATATTAATGGCTTAAGTTAATACATGTCATTTTAGCACTACAAACAGTATTGTGATGCATGTACAAAATTGAACAAAGCACAAAATRTGGAGCAAGCTAAAGAAGGAAAGGTAAGAGGAAGTTATGAATTGTCATGAATTCGGCCTAAGTTTTCTGAGTTGGAAAAACAAGGTTTCAAGGTTTTTTTATTTCCCAGAATGAGAATTTTATACTTTACATCACTATTTTTAAAAAATTAACTGGGAGGAGCAGAAGAAAAACAACCCAAAAGGGTTAAGAGAATATTTCTGCACCTTGAAACTATATAATACTTTCAAAGAAGGGGGAAAGAGGCAAAAAACAGAATACATTGTAGTCTAGCTTCAGTACGAACAAGGCATATAAGGCATGATGAACGAAAGATGTTTGTGCTAAAGTTAGTCCACAATCCTGGGKGGTTCTCTTGCCCGTTTAGGGTAGGGATGTGCCGCTGAGCCCTCTGAACCCTGACCCTGTTCCAGATTAAAAATCRCTGAAATTAATACCCTGTTCCAGAGCAAGATCGCTGAAAACCCTGTTCCGGAGAGGAGAGAGCGTGATTTCATATACCCTGTTCCAGAGCAAGCATGATTTTATATACCCTGTTTTAGAGTAGAATCGATGAAAACCATACCCTGTTTGGCGGCATGTACCCACATAGCAAATATAGGGGAGTACCCCCCCGGATCCACAATACACCTTGTTCATTATCTCAGAAAATTTCTATATGACAAAGATCCATATTGTTGTCTATTGCCTCAACAATCTTTAATTAATTTTCTGCAACCTCTATATTTCAGCAAGAACATTACACAACCCTTTGTCACAATGCACATAATTCATACGTACTTCAGTTATCGGCACTAAATGGAATGCAGGAGGTTTTTTATTCCACTTCTTTACCTCGAATGTTAGATGTAAGTAGCAATATATTTAATATTACTGACATATTATAACCTTAGACAGTTATATTTTTTATTTGATGCTATATTTGAGAGAATCAAGGGTGGTGTGGTATATACTCCCTACTCACCTCTGGGGTGTTGTTCCTGAACAGGGATGGCATCTCATTTGAGCATCTCTCTTTCGTCTAGCTTGATTCAAGTTTTTTCAGTGTTCTCCAGTTCTGTCCCTGACTTTGATAGCTCAGAGGTCGTTTCAGGGTGTAAGGTTTAAAATTTAAATTTAAAAGAATTTTTATATGTGCATTTTATATAGCCCATTTCGTCCCTCTCCCCTTTTACCCCTGCCCCTGCAGCGTCAGCTCCGATTCAATAAATGAAAACCTTTTATTGCATTTCTAAATTTTTCCTTGTTCTTGAAGGATCTCCAAACAGTACTTGAGGAAGGCACACGATCCATGGCCCAAACGTTCAAAGTATGCTCAAATATAGAAAAGGAAAATGTAAGTAATTTGGATTACTGCCATTTGCATTGCTATGCAGCCACCCCAGACAAAAATCGCAACATGCACTTTGCAATAGACTGCAGTCAATCAAACATGTTGAGGTCATTTACACGTGTTTGGATCCACCCAGATAGGCCCGGTGAGAGTGTGGCTCATAATAGTTGTAAACAATCGACAAGTTTTGGCGCCTTTGAATCACACATGCGTGTAAATTATGTCAACATGTTTGATTGACGGCAGTCTATTGCAAAGTGCACGTCACGATTTTCGTCTGGGGTGGCTGCGTAGCAATGCCAATGGCGATAATATTGGTATAACATTAGGTGTATATATAATACATTAATAGTATTTTATTATTATAATATTGATAATTTAATAATAATAATGAGGATACCTAGATCACTATAAGTGCTTTTCACTAGTATCCTAAAGCAATATAAATATAAATACATAAAGTAAATGATACGACTATGAGACTATAAAACTACAAACCTATATATAATATGTGGTAGTCAAAAAATAGAAGAAAACTCAAGTCTAATCTAATCTAAAAAATTATAAATGACCTTATTATATTATTTACTACTATATAAAAGCACTGTAATGCCAACTCTACCTTATGATTATAGCTAATATTTTTTTTTGCATCAACTGCTCACATGCATGCATATGTACACATACCTAAATTTTATGTACTAGAATTCAAAAAGTGCTGACAGTTTATGTTCCTCTTTTCTCAGCATGAAGAGAGTATCCAGAGACTTGCTAACCTGGATAAAGTATTTAAAATGGTCGACAGTTCAACAGACATTATCAATTTTGTGAAGAATTCAAACAACCCTGGCCAATACACTCTCCCTAAAAAAGCCTTCCAAAAACCAGAAGATGGACATGTTGTGGTAAGATGTGCTTTCTATGCATATTTAGTTTGGACGTTTTTTTCTATGCATCAACTAGCCTGCGTCACATCCAGAATTTTCTTCGTAAATACGGTCTCGATCTACAAAGAAAATTCCAGATGTGGGCAGGCTATGTATCAACTCTGATAAAAATTAAAAGCCAAGTCGCTCTTAAATGAATGTTATCTGAATATGCTTTTGTTATATTATATCGACTAAATTAAATAGTGTAAATAAATAAATCATATCATAATTTTATTTCACAAAATACCCCTGGCTCTCAGCTTCTAAACTCTATAATCCTGACAATGATTTTGCAATAGAGGTTTTGCAATATCATGTGACAGCAGCCATGTTAGATGGCAGGAACAATACAATTGTTTTACATAAGAAATAATTCATTTCCTGAGAGCAAAGGGATTTTGTTCTGCCATCTAACCACAGGCAGACCAAACTGTATTATGGATGCTGGCACTTGTTGGTACAAGACCTCTATCGAGTGTGTAATATGTTCAGCCTTGAAGACTAAATGGAATCCTAGCATGTAGAAAAACCTTTAGGAGTGACCAATCATTTATCATGACTTTAGGTCTTTAGCCTTTAGCCCCTAGAAAGCTTACCCTATCAAAAGGGAGCTAGATATCCAGGGCTACCAAAAGGCTAGAATATCCCTGCTACTAAGGGAACAAGGGTGTGTTTAAAAGAAAAATAGAAGAATAAGTAAGAGAAAGCAAGCCCTAGTAGTAAGGTTACAGGGGTAGGTTTAGGGGAGGAGTATAGGGTTGGCAACCAAACCCCCCTCCCCTATATGGCCGCATTATTGATGCTTGAGTTTATCAACTTCCTGATCATACCTGGTGCACCCCTCCTTAAAAGATCCTGAATCTGAGTTACCCTCCCTATTGTTGGCCTGCAAGAATTCCCAAGAGAGCCAAAAGATAAAAACATGGTGACCAATGCTCTCCTCAGAGAGGCTGTGAAGACATAAATGTGCAATCAAAGAATTGATGGCTTTCAACCATYCCCAAGAGAATTAAATAACAAAAGACACGGTGGCCATGTTGGAGGATATAACAAAAGAATTCATTAACAATTCTTTTCCTAAGTTCCTCCAACATGGCTGCCGTTAAAACCATCAATGTGTATTGACTAATTATTTCCTAAAATAAATTTAATTTATCTTAATATGATCATTTAATTCTTTACTTTACTCTCGACTTGAAAGTTCCAAATTTTATTCAAATCAAATTATGATTGACATACATGATAAGTAGATCTGGGACAAATTCATATTGAAAAAAAATTCGGATAAAAATAATTTAACATTTAAAAAATAATATATATGAAGCTTTTCTTGTAGAAATGCATGGGAAAAAGCTTGTATTTCAGGCATAAAAATAAAACGAAAAATATAAGCTTAATCAAAAATTGGAAGACACATTGATTCAGTTCTACAATCAGTTCAAAAGAATGGCGTTTGGTGGAGGATTTGAGCCACAAGTTCAACCAAAACCGTCAACGATAAAACGCTTCGCACAGCATGGTACTTGTTCCACTTCTCAATCGTATTGCGAACGAATTCTTCCGATTCTCGTGCGACCAGCTTGTCATAATCAGCATAAATCGGGTCGATTGAAGCTGGTTTGAGTATGAAGAGTGTATAAGGAAATATCAAAGCCATCGTACATCCTCCAAGAAGATACGTCAAGCCACTGGAAGGCTTGCAAAAGTAGGCACCAACGGAACTTACAGCACCTATCAAAGCCAATCTTCCCTGGAAAACCCTTGCTCTATCGAAGCTTTCTTTCCACTGCTTATGGCAGGTCTTGGTGTCCAATGTCATCCTTGATGGATGTTCGACCACGTTGATATATATCGCTCCTCCAGCGAACATTCCTATTGAAATGGTAGAAGTTGCTTTGAGGAAGGGCAATAAGGCATCACGATCAAAACCCATGGCGAAGGCGTTTCTCGTTTGGGCAAGAACAAAGGCTAGAACATCTGAATCAACGAGCAAACAAGAGGCTGAATTAAAATGTTCTGACCGGGCTTCCTGGGTAAGTCGAGTCCGTGAGAGACTGGCCTATTAAGAAATATTTCGCTCGGGCTTCCTGTGGAATTAACGCGGCGAGACCACGGATTTACGCGCATTAAAAAGTATGAATGCACGAACATACGTGGAATATACTTCAACAGTTTAACAATTTTAACAGTAACAATTTCAAGAATTTTAATCTTTTCATTGGAACTGCGGGAAAGTGCTGAATTTAACACTACATGAATGCTTTTAAAAATCCCCTTCCCTCTTCGGGGTCTGGGGGGTTCAATTGACCAGTGCATGAGAACATTTCTACAGAGAGAAAGAACTATAATGGCAATAAAGTACTGACGAAATCAAAGTTTATCTCTTCAGATCAGTTTTATAAGTGTTCCCAAGGCAGATCGTGCGTTGTCATCTTGTTGTTCAGAAGAAGGGTGTTTCATGTAGAATCTGGGAGACAAATCCAACCAGTACACCCAAAGACAATACACTCCTTACCGAATGGTAGTTGTTTCACTTCACAATTGTGTGCTTTGTAATTTATTCATTTTGCAAATATATTGACAGTGTTTAAACAAACCAGCAATTACGAAATTTCCATAACGTTTCTTGCTTTAATTAAATGTTAAAAGCTTACACATTATTGAAAAATCCTGATTTGGAGAAGCAATGCGTTTAAAACGAAAACAAAAAACAATTGCCTTATTGACAATTATTTAACTACGCAAAACATGTATAGAAATAAATATTTAAATTGTACAAAATTTAAGATAAGAAATTTATAAATCTAGTTCGCTCAGATACCACCAATATAACCTTAAGATTCACGACTTTTGCATGCTACTCTTTAACCAGTACTTCAGTTCCCATAAAGAATCGATTTAATATAATATTTTCTTCGTTATCAAAACGTTTAATACACGTGCTCTCGTGGCAGATCATGTGTTGTCCTTGTGGTTCAGAAGAAGGGTGTTTCATGTAGAATCTGGGAGACAAATCCAACCAGTACACCCAAAGACAATACACTCCTTACTGAATGGTAGTTGTTCCACTTCACAATGGTATCACGAACAAACTCCTCGGACTCGCGATCCACAATTTTGTCGTAGTCATCATAGATCGGGTCGATTGATGCTGGCTTGAGAATGAAGAGCGTGTATGGGAATATCAGCAGCATACTACATCCACCGATGAGGAAGGTCATCCCTTCAGAAGGCTTGCAATAGAAGGCCCCAGCCCCACTGATAGCTGTTATCAAGGCTAGTCTACGCTGATGGATCTTGGCTCGATCGAAGCTTGCTTTCCATTGTGCATGACAAGACTTGGTGTCCAACGCCATTCTCGCATTGTGTTCTACAATATTGATGTATATCCCTCCACCAGCGAATAAACCCACGGAAATCGTAGACACCGCTTTAAAGACTGGGAACATAGTATCACAATCGAACTTCATGGTTGAAAGTATTGGTTTAAAAGGCGTTATTGATAAGTAAAAACACTTCAATCGAAAATATGAATGAATCGACTTAAAATTGACACTTACGAACGATTTTCTTGACAACCGCTGGCCATTATAACCGCAGATGCATTATGTTATTTTTAAGGGAGCAGTTGACCCTTGAGTGTCAAACATTAAAGTGTAGAAGTTGAAGTTAAATTTCTTGTGTGTTTTTTTTTTTGTCCTAATGTTTATGTCTAAACTCAGTTGAAATCCGGAAAGTGTACGGTGTAACTATTTTTGATTTTATAGACCCTTTTCAATAGTTATTTAGATGTGAGGCTAATAGGAAGCTGGAAAAAAAGATTTCACAATTTTTCTTAAAGGCGAATCTGTGGTATTTCAATTGTTTGATTTTGACTGAGAGCCTTGCATCCAAATTATTTTCGATAAACGGTCTAACCATTTCATGATGTGAGCTGATCACCCCCTCCCCCCTCCGTCCCAATGGCTGTTTTCCTTGTTGGTCTTTCTAACAGGTTGTTTGGCATGCACTTTATCTTTTTGTTTTCATTTCAGTCTGTACCTGATAACAAGCTGTCCCTTCACACGACAACAGAACCAGTCCTAAAAAGAAAATATATTGCATTATCCAAAAAGGTGTGTCTTAATTATYGTTTATTCAACAGGATTCTTTGAACTTTAATTCATCCAGTGGAGTTTGCGAGTTTAGGCCTTGTTCACTCATCAAAGTTGTTGCCATGAACTGCAGTTCTCGAAATGCTATTAAGAGAGCTAAGTAGGCTTGGGCGTAATGTTTTCCCATCTTGGACAACGTGTCATTCTTTTGAGAATTAGATTCTTTGTTTGACTTTTATCCATATTCACGTGTCTTAGATAATATTGGGGAATGACTAGGGAATGAAACATGGACTGAAATGGGAAAACATTTCTATTGTCTTATCCTTTCTATACCTGTAAGACAGTGGAGTAACCAGGGATCTTGCAGGGGAGGTGCCCAGGCAATGATTTGCAGAACAAAAAAAAAAAAAAAAAAAAAAAAAAAAAAAAAAAAAAAAACGGGAAAAAAAAAAAAAAAAAAAGGTAACCAATAAAAAGACAACAGAACCGAAAAAAAAACCAAAAAAAATAAAACTTAAAAAAAATGGAATAATGGGTGAGTGGTTCTTAAAAATGATACAATGTGCAGATGGGAAGCGGTCTTCATTTAATCAAAAAACATTTACATGCAATTTTAAAGCAAAAGGAGATAGATGAGTGGACCAAAAGCTTTTATTGGGGATGCACTGCACCCTGTGCTCCCCCCTGGTTACGGCCCTGTAAGACCGGCTTCAAGGCCCTCTGTTACATAGCCAGCTTGACATAGTTTGTTGATTTTATTTCAGTCTAGACATTTATCAAATACAATAGAGAAGGAAAGACTAACTCTCAGATCTGTTAAGGGCTTAAGAGATAGGTATGATATTGATATTGACGAGGTCCTTACTCCTATTTTCATATATATTTGCTATAATTCGAGATGTCTGAGTTGTTCTTGCTTCCGTCAGTCAAATCTCCAAAGGTCTGAGGTAGTATTTTTTGATTGATGGAAGCTAACAACCTAGAAGTCTTGGGCTGATATGGTTGCGTAATTTTGAAGATCAGTGTCAATTATTGTTCCCCTTTAATCCTTTAATCCTCATATGAGGAATAGACCTCTTTAACTGTATAGTGCGCTTCAAGTTTTTCCCTTTTCAGACCAGGTGTCATTCTTTGTTTGAGTAGAGTATCCATATTCCTGTGTCTTCTCATGCACAACAATCAAACAAAGAAATGATACTATAGGAAATCACACTTCCGCTGAAATGGGAATTCATTGTTTATACAGTCCTTTGACTAAGCGTTGTCATTGATCGGATCATCCCTACGCGCCTAGACTTAAAAGGATAACGGCTAAATTACCCAGAACTTGCGTCATCCAAACTGCTCGCCAGTTTAAATCTTCGCCGTATGCTCAAGGCATGGTTTTAGCAAATTAAATGGGATCGAAAACAGCGAGCTCAAGACGTTTGAGCTAGTAACTGTGAATTAATTATCCCCATGATCCTTTTCGGTCTAGGCGTGTAGGGATGAAGCCGATCAAACGACAACGTTTAGTCAAAGGACTGCATATAACCGCTTTCACACTAATACGTTTTCCTTTAAAAATGCATTATTTTCAATGCGTTTGCGTCCGCACTGAAACGATCGGAACTTTGATCGTTTTCATTGAAATTAAACGCATAAATTTGAATACGCTCTCCAGAGTGGAACGTGGAGAAATGGTTGACAGGCGAAAACCAAGGCTTTTGAGAACACCACATCATTCACACCAGCACGTCTGTCACTTTCGCATGCACAGATAATGACATTACATCATTTTCAATCTTATCTGTGTTTTTGATCATTTTAGTGTGGACAAACTCTAGTGAGAAAGCGAAGTTTTTCATGCTTTTTTGGCGAGACGAAATTAAAACGATGAGTTAAACTGTCTTTTTCCTACATGCAGTTACACGCAAAACCCATCTTATGGCCGACCTGATGATGTGGATATCGATATTGTAATACAGAAGAATGGCATAAGAAACAAAGAATTGCACAAAGAAATAACTGATGCTCAGGTATTGTACATGCACTCCACATACTACAGGCGGAATTCGAGAAATAGAGAGCCTGTGCGCATGCTGTGTGCGGTTATGAAGCTTGCGCATATGCCGTGCGCTTTTCTAAAGCACGAGCAGTAACTTGCAGAACATGAGAGAATGTTTCCTAGGAGACCCACGACACATAGCGGAATGCTTGTCACACTTTTTTATAATTTCTTTTATTTAATGCAATGTTCCCTTTATAAGTATGAACATAACAGATAATTGCAGTTTCCTATATATATCTGATTTCCAATCGGCTGTAAAAGTAGCAGATCAACTAATATTTTCAAAAGTATTGTTTATTAATTGAAAAAAATCTGATTATTATTATTATTTTGTTACAGCTTAACCTGTTTACGCCAGACATACAGCGAAAACTCCACATCACAGAAATGGATTTAAAAGATGATGAGTATGATGATGATGAAAGTCTTCTGGATGTGTATGATAAACGTCAAAGTATGATTTCCAACGTCATGGCAAAACCAAAGACTACTCGTGCAGCCAAGCATGACTTTGTAGAACATACATTCAAGAAACCAGTATTTTGTTATTACTGCAACAAACTTTTAAAAGGTAACTTGCTATCATTATTGCACTGTGCGGACACCCTGACTAGGACTTCAAAATCTTCCTTGTTTATCGTTTATTGATAGCCAGTGGCTAACAAACCTATGGCTCTCATTCCAGGGGTTGAACTAGGGGGTTCAGGGAGTTTTTGAGGAGCCAAGCAAGCAGCAAAGCCAGTATCTAAGCAGAAAAAACAAGTTTCATCGATACCCTGAAACAACCTTGAGTTAACCTATGTCAGGGCATGGCTAAAATATTATTGAACTTAGCATATTATGGTTTTGCCTAATAGATATTGTGAACAACTTGTGAGAAAGTGAGCTGCTTGGGCAACCAGTGAAAACCAAGTGTTTTCTTTTTCCACAATTTTAGGATTCTTGAAGCAAGGCGTGAAGTGCAAGACATGCCGAATGAGTGTTCATTATAAATGTCAAGAAAATGTACCAGACTGTTCAGGCGAACTGGTAGGTTTAAACATTTGTACATCAGGAGTCTTGCATTACTAGATGTGTCCATCTCCCATACTGGGTCTATGAGCCATTATATTCCCAGACCGGGAGCATATCATTACCAGAGTCATCCTTCTCCCATACTGTATCTGTGAGCCAGCATATATTCCCAGATCAGGAGCCCATTAATAGGAGCATCTATCTCCTATGGGTCTGTGAGTCAGCATATTCCTAGATCAGGAGCCTATTACTAGGTGCATCCATCTCCCATACTCGGTCTTTGAGCTAGCATATATTCCCAGATCAGGAGCCCATTACTAGGAGCATCCATCTCCTATACTGGGTCTGTGAGTCAGCATATTCCTAGATTAGGAGCCCATTACTAGGTGCATCCATCTCCCATACTGGGTCTTTGAGCCAGCATATATTCCCAGATCAGGAGCCCATTACAAGGAGGGGCCATTTCAGGGCTGAGTCAAGTCCAAAGATATTGGGGGGAAGGGGTTGGCTTGATCTCCAGTCCCTTCCCCCTGCTACAACCTGTATTAAATGTCAACAAATAGCCGGAATTATTGAATGACTGTCCCCCCACAAAACTCCCCTAGCTACAACCCTGCACCTCCCATATACTGGGTTTGTGAGCCAACATATGCCCACTGAGAAACCCTTTACTGTCACTGTATTTATACTAAGAGGGTTTATTTGTTGTTTTATACAGTCTTTTTTTATTTATCTTTAATCTTTTTTTTCTATATTATTCCAGCTGCCTTCAAAACGCAAGTCAGGTATGGCAAAAGCAGCAGCAAGCTTGAGCTTTGACAGCGAATTCGATGACTTTGATGATTTTGATGATGCTTCGTACAGTGACATAGATGAGGCACCCACCCCACCCTCCATCAGGAAGATCCCACAGAAACCATCACCGCCAAGACATGCAGCTGATCTTTACGGTAGGCTATATGAGCATATATAGGTTATGGTTGTAGATTATCAGTGAATTGTGATCATGAGGGCTAATAGACCCCTTCACAGTTCCCTGCGCCATCTTGAAAGGTAGCCGTGCCTTTGCATCGTAGCAAGACGAACGGTGAGCTTGCAATGATAGAGACATGTGAATAATTGTTCAAGGTGTTAAAAAAGGTATCTATCATTGCAAGCCCACTGTTCATCTCGCTGCGATGCAAAGGCACGGCTACCTTTCAAGATGGCGCAGAGAACTGTGAAGGGGAAAATTAACTCTGTCTTTGAGTCCAAACTAATACCAGTTTATTTCATTAGATGTAGCTGAGGAATGTTTGGCAGGGGTAAGTCTGCTGCATATTGTTCATATATTATTCCTTCATTATAGAGAATATTTGTTGATCTGCAGTTTTGTTTGTTTTTTTTTGCACTCCACAAAAATCAACTTCTAAATTCAAATTGGAATCCAGTGGCAGAAGAGCCAATTGATGCGTTGCAAGCATTCCCAAGACAGTTAAAAGACAAAATCATGGCGGCCATTGTGGTACCGTTAACAATGGATTCTAATGAGAACTCTTTTGTTAAATGGTACCAACATGGCCGCGATGACGTAACGTGCAAACGAAGAATATGTGAAACCACTGTGGAACCAGTCTTTTTATTTTTATTTTTTTATTTTTATTATTTTTTTATATCACCAAACTAGTTTTTTTCCGTGTAGGAGAGGAGAGGGGAAGGGAAGAAAGGAAAAGAAGAAATTAAAGGAAGAAAAGAAGGAAGATGGAAATGAGAAAGGAAGGGATGAAAGCAGACATGGAGGGATGAACGAGTTAGATTGATCGAATAAGGGTAGCAACGAAGAAATGAAGTAAAAAAGGGTGCAAGAATAAACAAAATTAGTTCTTTTATTAAGAATAAGAAGATAGAGAATGACCTCGAGTGTTTGAAAAAAGTGGCACAATGATTACCACTTTCCCTCTCTCCCCTTCCATCTCTAGGATGGTCTTCCACGATCCCTAAGACCCCTTAGTTTGTAGGAAAATCTCTGTATTTACGTCTAGATCCCTGTGGACTGCACAAGAGGAAGGGAGGTATAGTTATCCCAATCCAAAACTGCAGAGTTGCAACTGCAGAGTCGCCAGTGGGGAAGACTTACCATACCTTTATCTTATGCAGAATTCATATGGTGTAGCATTATATGACTATGGTGGAGAAAATGCAGGCGATCTCAAGTTAAGGTATGTGCATTGTGTTTGCAACGGGAAGTCAGGAAATAGCGTTTTCCACAGATGACGTCACAGTTGTGCATCATGCGATTGAAATGCAGCCAACAAAGCACAGCACACATACTAACATGCTGCAATGATGTTTTTTTGTTTTCTAATTCATGGAACAACTATAGTTTTGGCTGATATAATTCTTCTTTTCCATGTAATCGAAGCCTTTATTCGCAATGCTCGTCCGCATTTTAATCCCACAAGGCTTTGCGATATCTATTTATAGGTTCCTTGTGACAACCATGACAACAGTGATCAGCATTATCTTTCTTTCTTTGTTTCAGTGCTGGTGATAAGATATCCTTAACCAACACTTCTGACAGTAATTGGTGGGAGGTGAGTAGTAGTGTATGGCTTATCATAAGTAAAACAACAGGGTGACCAACACTAGTTTTTTAATCTTTGCCAGTCGTAACAAACCAGTTGATCAAATTGTAATTAGTATATGTAATAGGACTCCATGCTGTCCAATTAAGAAATAATTGGATGAGGAAAATTCCGAGGACTTCCAAAATTGGATGAGGCCGTAGGCTGAGTCCAATTTGGCAGTCAGAGGAATTTTATTTTTTTAGTCTAATTATTTCTTGATTGGAGAGCATGAAATCCCATTACCTATTAATTATATAGCTGCCTAATTAATCCCATATCAACAAACCTTTCCAATTAAGGAAATAATTTGACAGTCACCTATATGGGATTAATGAGAAGCTGTATACTTAATTTAGAAATTGATTTTTTTATGGAATTAATTTAGGAATTGATTTTTGCGGAGGGAGGAAAACCAGATAACCCTGAAAAACCCTCGAAGCACAGAAGATATCTAACAACTCTAATATCTAACAATGTCACAGCAATGAGAAGTGGCTCTTCCCCTAATCACCGTGTAGAATRACCTGAGCCAAGTAAAGCAAATAAATTTGTATTTAGTATAAACTTGTGGTCTATCAAATACTGTGATCTGATTGGCTGAGCTGCTAGTGGTCTATTGGTGATAGATCACTAGTGATGAAAAGTGACGGTTTTGAAAACGAAAACAATGGAAAAATTATTGCAGCCTTATCCATTTATTTGTACTAAAACAACTAGACCCATTGCTCCCAATAGCCCGTTTGGCTTCATGGGTTATTGAGTCCTAGACCATAAGGGCTAATTGTTAAATATATTGGCTTATTGATTGATTGATATCTTTTACTATCATTTAGGGTACCTGTAAGGGACGATCAGGCTTTTTCCCAGCATCATATATCCAGGTACATACCATAGATAATAGATATATATATACTAGTTATACAACGGTTTTGAGTGCCATATCATGGAATATCGCTTGTCTATGGTGTGCCACGAGAAAGCATTGTATAGCCATTTCATCCCGCACCAATGAAAATACGCCTAGGCTGCAGTGCCTGATGGGAAGGAACAGTAGATTACTGCCGAATATACGACGGCTTTACTGTGTAATGCACTCAATAAAAAATAAAAAGAATATCAATGTAGCCCCTTCCGCTTGTAACGTCCGCTTTATCCTTTTTTGGAAGTCCTGTGTTGTGTATATTATAAGTAAGACGAAATCTGGAAATAAGTCTCTTCTCTCTCGTACTCATTCCTAGCCCCTCTCGTCAACTGTCATACATGGGGACCCCAAGCACAAAAACCGATTCTGGTTGTATTGACTAAAATCCGAGGGTTGCCTGGGTAGGATGTTATAACCAATCATAGCAAGTTGTCTAGTAAAATGACAGACTCAATTTTACCATGTTTGATTGACAGGAGATCTCAAAAGAAAGCGTCATTCTGAAGTGCCTGTTTGACTTCAATGCTCAAGAAGGAGACGAACTCTCAGTCGTCGAGAATCAAGTATGGTTTGATATGCTGGGATATTTCGAAAAATGGTTTTCTTATGAATACTGGGTAAAAACCCTGAAACAACCTCTGGGCTGATCTAAGTCAGGGCATGGCTAACTCACAGATCAA